TCTTCTCAGTTTCTTTTAAAGGGTTTGTATGGTATTTCAATATTTCTTTATTTTTACTTCAGTTTATGACACAACATAAAACAGGACTTCTTAATACTTTTTAGACATTTATATAATCTATTCAGATCAATTGCACAAATTTACTGTCTGACTTTTGTTAAGAGCTTTTGTTTTATGTTAAGAGCTTATAGCCAGTTACTTGAGCCCAGAACTTACACCAAGACATTTACAGTATATGGCATATTTTGTAATGGTTACAAAAACAAAATTACAACAGTTTCATGACTCAACAGATCTAAATCACAAAAAAAATAATTTCTTAATAATGATATACTGTAGTTTGTTGTTTAAATCTTAAGTACTCCAAAATATTTTACCAGGTCTTTAAATGTGAAAATACATTTCACAGACTGTGAATTTAAACTAAGATGCTATAGCTGAAGGTATTAATACTTCAAGGCAAATGTGAGAGACACACTACAGAATATTTCATCAAATAATATTCAGTTGTATTGTATTGCAGCAGAGCAGCTGAGTTGTTTGTTAGTTTAAGCCACTAGATTTTGGCTAAAGGACACTCTAAAGAGAAAATGCATACAGGTGTTCAAAAGTGGTTGTAACCGATTTTCTCTAAAACTTTTAAAAAGTAAGTAAAGATTTTTTACCACAGATTTTGTGATAAGATCAGAGCTTTTTGTTAGTGATAATTTTCATTCAGTGTTTAAATACTCTTAATACAAAATGCAAATATGATAGGGCAGAAGTGAGAGTTTAGAATTTGACTCTAATAAAAATAAAAGTAAACAGTATGAAAAAAAACCTTCATTTAATATTTGCAACCCCATCTGAGGACTGCAGTTTGGGAACCTCTAAAACTTCTCCTAACCTTCATTTCAGTGACTTTTGTTCAATTTTTATTCAAAAAATAAAGTAGTTTTGGAAACTAAATATGAAGCATTAAAAAAACAATCCTGGTGTAATCAACAATATAGGATTTTGAAACAATCATTTGAGTTCATTTCATGCTTCCTTATGCATTAGTGAAGACTCTTAATCTATCCTATTCATTGTCTAGGCATATAATCATGGAAAGTTTTACTAGTTCACCAAAAGCATGGTAATTTTGTTGATACTACTTTCAATATTCAAAGAGATCAAAGCATGAATACTTACCTCTGTCCACATTATTCATATAAAGTAACAAACTACAAAAAATGAAATAATAAAATTAGGAAAAGGAAACTTTCATCTTCTGTTTTTAAAGCACACTCTTTAATCTTGTGGCCTATGTCTCTATTCCTAACATTTCATTGTGGACTACTGAATTGGCTATTAACAGTGCCCCATATAAGGTAGTAGTACTCTACCTTATCCTTTCATCTTCCTGTTTCTTCATTCTTCTCAGGCACCAGCATATTTATTTTTACCAGTAATGTCAAGGTGCATTAAAAAATAATCAATCCATCACACAAATGAATGACAATTTAAGTGTTTTGAAATTAAATCAAAGTTAGTATGTGTTTTTTAAACAAGTAGTGCTGTAAGTCATCTTTTCTTGGAGGAACAGACTGAAATCACAAGAAGAGGGTCAATAAGGACCTTTTGGCATAGGTGTCATAGTAACAGTAACCACTGTCTGCAGAAAGGATTGTAGTATGTAGTAAGTGATCCAGTTCTCTGAAAATAATCTATGATCTGAATGCATTTCATTTGACTTCTCATTTTGAGTTTGGAACTGGTGGAACTCTGAGTTGATACCATAGTCTTCCACAAACCCCTCTTCCACATACCACATATTGCTGTCCAGGTTCCATGTATTATTATTATTATTATTATTATTATTATTATTATTATTATTATTATTATTATTATTCCTCCCACTTTTAAACTTCTGTCCTCATCACTGTCCTGAGGCATTAGGAGCCACACAGACTGCATGCCCTCCCAACTGGTCCCACTAACACCTCTTCTAGCAATGACCTTAGTTTTTCCCAGGAGGTCTCCAATCCAGGTACTGGCCAGGTTTGCTCCTGCTTGGTTTCAGTGTGTTTGTGGGTTGACTCATGGCTAAAAGTAAAATATTTATCACAACAAGGTCTAATTGCTACATTTGAAACTTTAGTACTTATGTTATACATTTTAATTTAATTTATTTCGTTACGCATTTCCCTTTTTTGTACAATTTTAAAATATAGCATCTGCACACATGGTTGTGTAGGATTATTGTAGACAATTTATTAAAATGCACTCTATATTAAGTATTTATCATACTTTGTACTAATGTATCCAACAAAATGTATTTCTTTCCATTGGCAAAGCTTTCCGTCTATTTCCTTTTATTTTTATCAGCTCTGTATTTTCATTAAGTACAGAATAAGCCAATTCAAGATCTTTCATTGAGAGCCACAGAAAAACATTTAATACAACAAGAAAAAGCAACGATAAAGCTAATGGAGGGGAACAGCAGGCTTTTAGAATTGGTCCTATACACAAAGAAAAAAAAAGACTTGCAGCTTTGACATTCCATTTATTAATGACAAAAATACTTTTGACAGAAACATATTTGTCTGATGGTCTGAAATCAATCAATTTGGATGACAAAATTTATTGTTCCGTAAAAGACAAGCACATTGTTTGTCAGTGTGCATTTGATTTTTCTGTCCATTATTTTCATGCCAGTGGTCCACAAGAACATTTTTGTTCTCTGGTGAAACAAAAATGCAAAAGTTTAAAAAATGCTGTTGTGTTAATATTGATAACATTTTTGTATATATTAGTGTGTCCTTTTTTTCTTTTTGTAAATGGTTGCAATTTGATTTTAGCTGTTGTGAGATGCATACACTGAAAGTTCGTAAAGCCAGAAACGGTTGGAACAAAAGGAATGCTGAAGCTACAAGATTAAACAAAGTAGTACTTCCCTATCAGTGGAAGAAATAAACAAAAATTATAAACATTAATATTTAAAGGCTTTCAGCCTTTAACCTTCAACTTGCCCTTCTGATAAAACGTTAGATGTGTTAGATACTTGCCTTAAAAGAGAAATGAGCATTATCTCCACACTGGAGGGCAAATTGATCATCCTATGTCTGAAGACATATTTAACAAAGATGATATTTTTATTCATGTATGCCTTTTCTACTTCTAGTCCCTGGGATTCATGTATCTTGAGGCAGGAACTGAACTACAGATTTTGTCTTATAATTTTTACTAGGGGTGTTCCACGCTGTCTTTGCTGAATAAGAAGACAAGAACTGATGCTTTAATAAACATGACATCTTTCCAATTGCACTCTGTAGCTGACCAAGGTACACAGGGGATTGTGTTTTATTGCTGCCATAATTAAGCAGCATGACAAGAATGCTTTAACTATGCGCTGTAATCATGCAGTTTAAAGTGGTTGCTGTTTGTTTTGTATTGCATTTTGTTCAAAACAGTGACACGACACAAAATGCCTTTTTTAAATTTGATCGAGTTTGAAGCCATTTTCAGTTCCTTGTCAAGTTTCATTAGATCAGAGAGAACATGAAGAGATAACTCAGAAAATGGAAAGATGGTAAACATTAGCATTTACTGGCATTAGAAGGTCCACAATACCTGAGATAAAAGTGGTATAAAACTGCAAAGACTGCTCAAGTGGCAGTGAAGAACAGTGATGAAATGACTTAATTCAATTTCAGCTCAAAGAGTAAACATTATGTGAAACAGCTGAATAATTAACGGAATGTTTTGTAGTGCTTTTAGCATTTGTTGATAGCACCAGCTTAGGTTGATTTGCGATAGCTCTGCACAGCTGAAAGAGGGTTGGGACTAGAACCTGAAAAGTGCTTGGAGATTAATTTTGCCTTGAAAGGTGTATATTTTTTGCTATATCTATTTTTATACACCCACCCAATTTAGAACCACCATTTTCTTTGCATCTTGGCTCACCATAATGTCTTTTCTATTACAGACGAAAAGGACGAGCCCTCAAACCCCCCCCAATTCATCTTTTGGCAGATCTCCAGATCACTTAGCTAGTACCAAACAAAGCTCGAGGGGCCAAATGGACATCATTTGTTTGTAACTTTTTTACATTTCTACATTATTATGCTTGGGTATATTGCAAAACGTGCTGAATACAAAACAAGAAAATTACATTTTAAACACATACATATGTATATACTATATATACACTGCTTTACAAAAGTATCAGTGAAAGCCTCTAACGGCAGGTCTGTGCACAGTCAACTGCAATCACATTGATTCTGCTAGATATTCTCAGATCTCTGTGAAGATGTGGTTCACTCTGAAAACAGCTTTACATGAGGTATGTCTACAGGCGAGCTGCATCACTGCATCTACTGAGAAAACATGCTTTTGTGTATATTCCCTTCTACTAAATTAAAAATAATGGTTCATAACACTTTTTGAATAAAGTGTGAAAATTCCAGTGATGACTGTACAAACGCCAACATACACTTAAACACGAGGACAATATTCAAAGGACATCGTTGACGTTATTTTTCGACTTAAACACATACATTTTTTGAATAATAAAAGCTCTTTTAAATTAACTCTTAAACTAATTATCTGAAAGATCAACATGGGAAATGCTATTTTTTGCAGTTTAAAACTTAAAAGCATTAGGTGGGTATTTTTATCTGAGGAAATATGTTTTATTCAGACTGTCAGTTTGGATCCAATTAAATGTTATCTTCATTTCTTCCAAAATGTAATTTTCTAAAACAAAAAAATCAAAGCTCATCAGCTATAATTTGATAATAAAATAGAATGAATTTGAATGTCAGAAGTTAAGAGAACAAAGAGCACTACAGAACGCTTTAGGTATTTCGAAGACAATGTTGCATCTTGACCACTGGAGGGCGCTGCATCTCTTCTGTTAGTTGATCCCTGTTCTCTGCTCTGAATCTGCATTAACACACTACCTCCACGCCTCCCCCCGCCTCCGCCCGTTCACTCACTCTGTCCCCCCGACTCCCCCCGGTGCGAGTGAGTATAGAAGAGGGTCTCAGTTCAGAAAGGACGGGAAGAGCTGTAAGGCTTTCAGTTTCATCGTCCCCAACAGATCGAGATCTCGGCATCTGAGACACATCAGCTCAGTAACAGTCCGCTCTGGTTCTATCAAAGCGTTCAGTAGTCAAAGGATGCTGAATTTTAGATTCCGTTATTCTTAAGAAAAAAAAGTAGACCCCAAACTAACGATAAGGAAGTTTAAGTTTTTTAAAACTCGATAGATAAGCAGATAAAGGGAAAAAAAAAACCCAAAACGATGGCAAGAAAGTTCCGTTTAAAATAAATGCATGAGGAACTTTCATCTGCAGCCCATTTTCATTTGTATAGGAAGTAAAGTAAAAAATACATATATCTATATTATTTCATCTTTGTGCCGAACTTCACGTTAAAGTTTAGAGCAAATTAAGATTTATAGGATGGATTTACAGAAGATGAATGAGGCAGCAGCTTTGCTGGAATGCATGAAGGTACAAAGCATCCCATCTACTAACTACACCACGAATTTTACATTGGACATGAATAATACCTGTGGAAACAGCACAGTAATTCCAAAACAGACACCTCAACGGCCGAAAGGTAAGAAGTGCACTATTATTGTATTATCCTTAAAGCCTAATTACAGTACTCCTACTGTCCATTGTTTATTGTTTTTACTGTAGAATGACCGAGTATACATTCAGTTCATTACTGTACATCATACAAAAAAAGATACCAGTACCCAAGAACACGAGTGCGTTTGTACTGTTATTGAACATTGCAGAGTTCTACATATTTAGGGGTCAAAGCATTTTAATGAATCACAGCGAAATCATGTAGCAATAAAATAAATCCTTTTCATTTTTTATTTTATCAAAAACTTCGACTGTAATTGAATTTAGCTAGGCAGAAATAATGTTTTACTCATTTGTATGTATTATATTAATAACTCTTTTGTTATACATGCATAATCTATTTAATTAACTAATGCTAGATGCACAAATCCAGCAAATACTCCTACTTGCATCTTTCATGTAAACAAACAACAGCAATGACATAAATGTAGTTATCTTGAATTTTTTTAATGCTGTTCTTGGAAAAAAAATCCTTTCACTCTATTAGCTAGTTACATTTAGTTAAAATGACACCAACATGATGTTTGTTTTATGCTTCTGAATTCATGAAAATAAATGTGTGGTAGGACTGGGGAAAGTCTAATTGCTCAGAATGTCCAAGGCAAAGTCACATTGAATTTGGTAAGCTGCATCCTGTACATTTATGCTTGCTGACACACTCACATGCCTTAACTGTGAAATATGGAGTTCAATTTTAAAAGATGCACCAAGAACAGAAGCATAGAATGGAAGACAATTTGATAATTGCATAACCCTGCTTCCAACAGATAATGAGACACTTTTTGTCCTTGTTTCTTTCTAGTTTCCTTCTCTTGACTTCCCTTTTCTAACTGATACTCAGTCTTTGCATTGAATTACATCTTGAATTAAAGGTATAAAAATAAAAGATTGAATTACATCTTTATCATTGTCATTATCTTTATGGGAATAGCATATAGTGCAACAGACTAAAAATGCAATGCGATCCTGTAGCATTATTCAGAGAACTTAAACATAAAGGTACTGTAGCTCACTTAGAGCACCTAATTTAATGGAATGAAATTTCCATAAAATCCCTGCAGTCCTGTACCAAATCACACTTTAATGGTGCAGAATAATGACTGCTCACTTATTAGAAAGATAAATGCTAAATTAAGTTTTAAATTTAGCTTGTCTCTAAATATTAGAGGTGGCTGGCTTATATTTAATCCTACAGCTCATAGTAAATTCAGAATTTGCTCTCAGTTTGAGAGCAAGTTCGGCTTTTCTACAGGGTAAACAGCGAGTATATAGTAAATAGGAGAGTATACAGACTTGGTCATTTTACAGTGTTTGAATTGTTTGTCATGCTTATACCATGCATTTGCTTTACTGTTTGATTGCACTTCATGCTTTACCATTCCTTTGCCATGGTTTCACTTTGTTTTGCTACACCTTATTATGCATTTTCCATGGTAGTTCACTGTAAATAATTGTAATAGGCAGGCACACAAAAAGGCACTGTTCTGTCACAAGAAAGCAAAATGATTAAATTCAGCTAATTTGAATCATAGGTCTAAACATACTCTATAGCTCACCTTGTTAATGTATAATCTACAAACAGGGACCATGAAAATGTCAGTGGAGACCATTTTTACACTACTTGGCTGAACATTATTTATTATATCTATTATTTTTGCAGTAGTGTATTAGTTTATATCATGTAATCTCCCATCATTTAGGGATTCCATGGTAAGATGATGGAATTTCCATAATTATATAATTATATTGTTCCTTCACAAACCTTTTCTTGGCACTGTAGTAGGGGATTCTCATTTTTTCATCCAATGGCTGTTTTTCATCCAAGATGGAGGAATGTTGTAGATCATCAATCTCCATTCCTTTTCTCTTTAATATGTTAGCGTGAAAACATTTTTCCCCAAATGCTTAACCTGACATTTACATTAAAGGTAATATACTGTACATCTAATTGATGAATCAAACCTAAGATCATTTCCACTCCATTAGCCCTAGGAACAGCATCATCAATGGAACAATCGTGGAATTACCAGCGAAGATTCATATCCCAATATAATCACAGTGTGAATGTGTTAGTACAGCATATAATTATATTCAATTTTCAGACATACAGCACACAGAACATGAACTGCTAAATTTATTTTTGGTAAATGTAAGATATTGCAGAACATTAATCAAACAATTCTTCTAACCCCTTTTCACACTACTTTTGGCTAATTAAAAAAAAAAACCCACAAGATATGGGGATTTTGCAAGATGGTCGTGTGGTGGTTGAAAGTTCTGTCACAGAGCTCTTCAATCATGGGTTCGGTTCCAGAGAGTGGTGCATTTTGTGTAGAGTTTTCATATTCTCTCCATAATGACATGTTTTGTGGGGGTGTGTAAGTTTCCTCCTTTCTTCTATCAAAGATGTGATAACTCAGTTAATTGGTGTTTCTAGACTGTATTTGTCAATTGTAGATTGTATTTCTAGATAGTCTGCTTGTTCTTGCACTTTGCAATGGATTGGTAATTGATGTGGTCCCACCTACTGTAGCAACCTGTCCTACTTGCCATGAATCTTATCTGGAATACGTGTCTGTCTGATAATGCATGGTGTGGATAAGTCTTCTGGTAGTTTTCTTCCATAGGAAGAAACTAGCTTTACTTAGAATTTTTATACTAACATTAATACAAAATCTTGTTTTGAAAATGTGTTAGAGTTATGATAACTGAGTTATTTTTGTAAAGAGGACATAAAAGAGGGGTTGTCATTAATGTCATTCATTACTCACTTGTTATCTTGCAGTCATTTAGGATAATGATTTAAAATAAATGATAAATGAACTAAAATATTTCCTTAAAAGTATTCACATCTAAAAAAAATCTAAACTCTCCATTTAATCATTCTTCTTCACAAGAGAAAGAGAAAAACGGTACATTGAAAATACATAGATACATAAAATCTGAATTATTTATATATATATGTGTTATATGTAAATGTCATATATCAGGAAAAAAATAACTTTTCTGGCGAGAATAGCTCATATCTAAGCCATTTGAATGTTTTAAGAAATCTTCACAAAGATTTGTAGAAAAACTGGGCATGATCAATGAAAAGCTGCCTCTTATTTTTGGGAATGTCCACTGCTGACAGAAAATTGTTTTATTAATATTGTGTTTTTCTAGTATGTCTAAGCATGCTTATTAAAATAAATGAATATTTTAAGAAATTATTCTGTCAACTGCGTTTATATTGTGTTGGAATTGGGAGTCTCATTCTTTTAAAAGTCATGATTAAGTCAGGAATCTCTGTGTAAATATTTATATGCTGAAAATAAGCATTCCTTCCACTGCCTACTTGTCTGGGCAGAGTAATTCTTGAAGTGTAAAGGTACATTTTTTTTCACATTAAGACGATTATTATTAGAAAGCTTACTGAAGGTAAAAAACATGAAATGGGATGTATGGACAGGAGTATCCACCTGGACTGGGTCTTGAGTACATTTTGATGAAGAAGTGCCTATGATGAAATGTTTTAAAGTAGCACTTATGGAAATATCCAAGTTGGTAGCTGCGTAAGCATGTATAGGATGCAAAGAAATGGGTAAAAGTTTGTTCCATGCTGAAACAAAAGAAAAAGAAACACAAAATTTCGGCTGTGGAGCCTTCTTCAGGTGTGAGATGTGAGCTGTGTTCACTGAAGCTGAAACCTCTAAAATCTATATCTAAAATCATTCAAAATGTTGTGTTTTGAGAATAGAGCCTTAAGGATTGGTGATATGTAACCCAATGACCGTCTACAAAAGTTCACAATTCTTTATTTTATGTAAATATGTTTTAGATAATTTCTGAATTACAAAATCTAAAAGTTAGATGCCAAGTTTATAATACATTTCAAGATGTAAAATATCAGTATCATTTAAAAATACTAAATCTGTTCCAACTGTTAAACAACAGTGCTTTTTGCGTAGATATGAAGTAATTATTTGCTTTTTATTTGCCTTTCTCCTGTTATGTACTTTGAATGATTATCAAAGCAAAGTGTCGCCTAATGTGCACTATAGTATATATACTGTATGTTCCAAAAATGAGTAAATGCCAATATCACCTATTCCAACACTGACATGGAAAGTGAATAATGTACCCCAAATATACAGTATGATCGTGGTTAGCATTCATTTTGAGAAAATGTTACATTTCCTAACATTTTTGTAGTTTGGTCATATTACTCCATCTATAAGCCTTCAATCTGAACAATACATTGCCCAAAGTGTGACTAATGGGAGACCTTTCTATACAAAGTGTTGAAACAATTACTTAGGTATTTTTATGTTTTTCTATTTCTTCACTTTTTTCATTCTTTTTTATATTGAGTAAATATCATAAAGTGTTTTTCCCTGCAATGTTGACACTTCCAGCTTATTCAGTCAGTTTTAAATTGTGGAAAAGTCATAGACATCCAACAGCTGCTTTGGTCTTACAAATGATATGAAATGATCAGAATATTCATGATTTTAATGAATCTTCGGTAATAGTTTGTGTAGGTGATTTCCATTTTTAGTTTAATGTTGATTACTCCCAAGAGGTTCTTATTCCATTGACTAAAAATATTCTAGAATGTTACTTGATTGCTACCACCCATGCAGTGTACCCATTGACTTTACAACGTAATTAATGCTTAAAAAATTTTTGTGATGTACCGTACCAAAAAATAAACAATGAACAGTATCAAGATGAAGTATGCAGTTAATAGCTTTGCTGCACAAGGGTACTTTTCAGTTGAGGCACAATAAGATGCACAGAAAGATCAGGAGTTTCTAATGATGTGTTTAAAAAAGAGGGATTCTGATGTGTATAATGGTGTATTCAAATATGGCTTAGACTGTGTAAAGTGGTTAAACCATTGTTTAATATAAAGATATTTGTAATGAATAGAGTTAATTAAGTTGAAGTTTAAAACAAAACAGAAAATACTATTTTGAAACG